AAGATCAGTGGACCACAAAATATTGCAACAGAAGGTTTTAGCAGTAACAGCACTTTTAAACATGGCTTGAACAAAATTAACTAGCTTTTAATTTATTAAGTCAGTAATTACAATCAATGCATATATTTTCACACTTTTCATGTAGAGTCCTCTGTTATTTAAAAGTAACAAAAGGAATACTAAATTTACTGGAAATGGTAAAAAGACTAGATATTTTCCACATTAAAAATAGAATAATGACTGGTAAAAAAGAAATACGAATTTGCCATTACTGGCTTTAAATATCAGTCTAAAGGTCTAGATGTGTCTATAATTAGATTTTGTAGTAAGTTCCCTTTCATGAAACCTCTTTTACTTAGAAGGAATTAGGTCAGATTTTTACAAAGGCAGTAAGAGTATCTGTGACAGATTTATTCAAATTCTCCATTGTTCCACTAAAATGTGCCCTTTTGCCTTTCTGCAGCTAGTGCTGAATAACAAAGAGTGGCCACAGTTGCTATTATTTGCAATAAGTCATATCTACTGAGATTCAAAATGCAGGTGGGGTGCCTGGTTGGCTCAGTAGGTTAAGGGTCCACCTCTTGATTCTGGCTCAGGTCATGATAAGTGTGACATCGAGCCCCACATGGGGCTCCACAGTGACAGTATGGAGCCTACTTGGGATTCTCTATCTCTGCCCCTCCCCCACTCTCTCAAAATAAATAAATAAACTTAAAAAATGGAGGTAATGTACACTTCATTCACTCACTCACTCATTCACTCATTAGTCAGGATCTAGGGCTAGGTAGTGGGTTGGGAGTTGGGTGTCAGAATTTATAAGGCACGAGTCTATGCTCCAGATTTTATGATTGGTAGGGGAGATAAGACACACATTCAAGTAACTATTAAATGGTATCAGGAAAGAAAAAAAATCCCACTATGATCATTCAGAGAAGGACTGAAAAGTCTAGGTTTCAACAGTGTGCTTTTAATTTAAAAACGCATCTTTCAGGAGTTTCTTTCTTTCAGGAGTTCCTAAGTGACATTCAAAAACTCACTTGCAATTGAAAACAACAGTAGAATTTATAAATTCAGTTGTTAAGATGGCCACACAAACTCAACCTTTCAATTCTGGCTTTGATTTAATTTAGAATTCTGCTTTCCTTTCTGTCCAACATAATTGTTTTCAAGGACAGATGGGAAAACCATAGTCCTGACCAAGGTCAATAATATCAATTTTCCCTTAAGATTTAAAAAGATGTATAGTTTTCAAATATATACTCTCTTTTTTCTGATTATAAAAGTAAAAAAATGCTCATTATTACAAATCTAGACAAAAAAGAAGGCAATAAAAGAAACATTCTTACTGCCACCACCCAGAGATAAAACTGTTAATTCATTCATGTTAAATAGAAAACACATAAAATTTAATGAATGCAATATCTTATAATGAATATTCTACACTTAATTCAAGGGAAAAACGTGTTCATTATGTACTCACAACTTTGTTCTTATAAAATCTAATAGATACATACAAAAATCTGAGTGTAATGTTATATGAGGAGTTGTAAACTAAAGCTATTCTACCGGAATGTTGTGCAATTGCTAAATTATGAAATTATACCAGAATAAAATAAAACAAAAAATTCTGGCCCAAAATACTTGCCAAAATTGCTCAAAAACCTAATGTAGGTATGTTAGTATAAAAAAAGTGCACAGTATCCAAAACTTATTACTCTGGACAACTGGGCTTTATAGGCAAAGCAATAAAAATTAAAGTTAAGGATACCTGGCAGGATGGTACAAAACAGAGATTTCCAAACCTTCCTTTGCAGCACCCTTAGTGCCTTAGTAATTTTTTCATGGTGCCCCAAGGCCAAAAGAAATAGCTAACAATTCTGTTAATTACATAGTTAGGTCCAAACAATTTAACATATATTATATATACATACATATATATATATATATATATACACATATATATATACACGTATATATATATGTATATATATATATGTGTGTGTGTGTGTGTGTATATATATATATATATATATATACATATATATATATATATATCTCAACCACAATTGCTTACTAATGAGATGCGTGCATCTGATGGGCAATGCATGCCTTCTCAAATCTTGGGATCAACTCTTACAATCAGATCGACACCCTCATTTCCTGGTCCTGATTTTTGTGCAGCACTTGCTTTTTATCACAGCAGCTGCAGGAAACCTAACTTCGCAGAGATGTGATGTCATCGAAAAGAATGTAGTAAGATCTAATGACAAAACTGGGAACTCTCTTGAACTAGAGGTTCACAAAGTGTCTGATAGATGTGGAATATCTCTGTGTTTCCTTCAGAAATTTAGGGGGTATAGCTCAGGGGTAGAGCATTTGACTGCAGAAATTTAAAATAACCCACATTGCCCTTTTGAGTTTGCTGTGGAACTCCAGGGAAGCTGGCCTGGTGTAGTTTGGTAGTTGTGGATATAGGGCAACCTATAAAAGTGTCACTGTAGAAGTGGTAGGAACTCCAAAATAAAGGCTGTCTTTGGAGTGCCGGGGTGGCTCAGTCCATTAAGCAAGCATCTGACTCTCTATCTCAGCGCAGGTCTTGATTGCAGGGTTGTGAGTTCAAAGGCTGTCTTTTGAAAAATTTGGTACCTTTGATATATAAATTGCTGGTCCTTTTATAACAGAGCACTGAAATCCAAATTGGGATACTATGACATATTATTTTATAGACCATGAGGGCTCTGTTATTGTTTCTTCCTTTTTAAAATTTTTTTGAAGTTTATTTATTTTAAGAGACAGAGAGAGTTGAGTGGGGGAAGGGCAGAGAGAGAAGGAGAGACAGAATCCCAAGCAGGCTCTGTGCTAGTGCACAGAGTCCAATATGGGGCCCGAACTCATGAACAGTGAGATCATAACTTGAGAGGAAACCAGGAGTCAGACACTTAACCGACTGAACCACCAAGGCATCCCCACTTACTTTTTTTTTTTTTCTTAATAAAAGATTGCTCAAGATGCAGATTTTTTATTCCATTTGTAAGTAATAGCCACCTACTGGATTATGTGTTTATTATGGGATTATTTGTTGTAAAGGTAGAATATAGGATTCTTTGTTACAAAGTAGGCTATAAAATTGTAGGATTATTTGCTGTAATAAGCACTTGTATGGGTAAGAGTTAACAAGAGTCTGAAGTGGCTCTATTGGGGCCTATTGACCAATGGCATGCGTATTTCATGGGGGCTCCATTAGAGAAAGGTTCCTTTTGTCCGTATACAATTAAGGCTGCAGATGGAATTAAGGTTACTAATCAGTTGACCTTAAAATTGAGAGCTTATCCTGAATTATCTGGGTGGGTTCAGTATAATCACAGGGATCCTTAAAAGTAGAGAAAAGAGCAGAGGATTAGACCTCAGAGGAAGATGTGACTTGGAAGAAAGGCGCGGGTAATGCTGTGTGAGAAGGACTTGACCCATGGCAGGCTTTAAAGATGGAGGAAGAGGTGCCTGGGTGGCGCAGTCGGTTAAGCGTCCGACTTCAGCCAGGTCACGATCTCGCGGTCCGTGAGTTCGAGCCCCGCGTCAGGCTCTGGGCTGATGGCTCAGAGCCTGGAGCCTGTTTCCGATTCTGTGTCTCCCTCTCTCTCTGCCCCTCGCCCGTTCATGCTCTGTCTCTGTCTCAAAAATAAATAAACGTTGGAAAAAAAAATTAAAAAAAAAAAAAAGATGGAGGAAGGGAATCCAGGAATCTGGGTGACCTCTGGAAGTCAGAAAAGGCAAGATAGTGTATTCTTCCCTTGTCTAGAGTTTGCCCACACTTTGACTTTAGCCTAGTGAGACCCACATTGGACTTCTAACTTACAGAAATGTAAGACAATAAACTGGTGTTGTTTTAAGCCACTGTATTTGTGATAACTTGTTATAGTGGCCATGGTAAACTAATATAGACCCCCAAATGACAGTATTGATAACAACACAATAGCGGGGCACCTGGGTGGCTCAGTTGGTTGAGTATTTGACTCTCAGTTTCAGCTCAGGTCATAATCCTGGGTCATGGGATCAAGCCCCAAGTCGGGTTCTGTGCTGAGCATGGAGCCTGCTTAAGATTCATTCCTCTCTCTCTCTCTCTCTCTCTCCTAACCATCCCCCCCCCACCACCCCTCTCCCCTGATCATGCTCTCTCTAAAATAAAACAAAAAAAAAAAAATGCAATAGCAACTATAAATATTTCAGGTCAGGGGCACCTGGGTGGCTCAGTCAGTTAAGCGTCCAACTTCGGCTCAGGTCATGATCTCAGGGTCCGTAAGTTCGAGCCCCTCATTGGGCTCTGTGCTGACAGCTCAGAACCTGGAGCCTGCTTTGGATTCTGTGTCTCCCTCTCTCTCTGACCCTCTTTCCCCATTCATGCTCTGCTTCTCTCTGTCTCAAAAATAAATAAACATTAAAAAAAATTAAATATTTCAGGTCAATTAGATGAGCTGAATAAACTGTCTGTAATATACTTCCTAAAGGTATTTTCTAGTAAGTTTTGTTTTGTATTGATAGTGTACGAAGACTGAATAACCTATAGGTGTAGAAAGAATTTTACTGGTATATACTTCAAACATCACAGCTTTTTGCCTCTGTTCATTTTCCTTACTGCTTAATGATGTAATGGCTATAAAGAAGATAAAAATTTCTGTATTATGCTCTGATATGAATTTTAAAAGAATATAGGCTTTTCCATGCTATATGAGTTTAGGCTAAGGATTACATTTCTTTTCCATGTGAAAATACCAATGAAAATATTTTTAGTTATTCTTGGACTCTTTTTAGATGGGAAGATAGTCTGATGTCTGGACGTGGGAGACCTTTTTGTATATTTATTAGTTTTAGAATTTTTATAGTTTTATAGTAATTATTATTATATTTCCGTTATATCTCTAACAAGGAAAATTCCTACTGTCTGGGTTTATATATTTTTGTGATCTGAAAATATCTATTCAAAGTTCAAAATAGTCTGTGTTCACCTGTGGTTAAAGGCAGGTGTGTGATGCTGTTCAAACAGGTCAGGGTGAACCACGTGGATGACAGTGTAGCCCCAGAAAACAGGAGGAGAAGAATTAGTTTCAGCATACCCCTGATAAAATCTGCAAACCTGAAAAGAAACAATGTTCTATTATAATTCTACTTGGATTTTTAAAATACTGTTTAAATCAATGACACACTTTCATTAAGCAATAATTTCTTGAAAAAATTTCTAGGAGTTCTTTTTAAAGCAAGTAAGAAAACCTTTTTTAACTAGCACATTTTGCATATATCGTGGCAAATATTTTTTTCTCTTACAAAACATACAAAATGTGATCTCTGTTCAAGGTCTGTAACTTACAGGATGGATTCTGTGTTTTTTAAATGCTACTTTTACTTTCTTTATATATTTCTATAATTTCCAAACATCCTACAATGAGCGTTATATTATTCTAGTTTTAGAAAACAGGCTAACTTGCTGACATCAACTTGCAAACATGGCTCTCCCAAAATTCAAACTCAGAGAATCCAAATGCTTACCCACAGAGCCACCGGGGTCCTATATGATCTGGTCTGTGCCTCCACTCTCCCTCTGCCTTACTATTCTCCAGTTGGACAGCCGTGTTTTTGTTTCTCATACAAGCTAGGGTTGTTTCCCATAGCAATATGTACCTTTGGTATTTGTCCTGTTTGCCAGGAATGCTGGTATCCTCATTCTTCATGTGACTTTCTCTAGCTTAGTCTGGTCATTCAGGTCTCCGTTCAATAAAGCTCTCCCTGCTCATGAAAGAAGCCCTCACCATCCCATCTCCACACTCTATTTTCTTCACAGCATTGATCTCTATTGGCATTTCTTTTGTTTTTGCATTTACTTTTTGTCTTCCCTATTAGTAAGCTCCAGGAGAGCAAGAATGTAGCTCTGGAGTAATGACTACTGTCCTACAAAGGTTGTGGCTAATGTTTCAGGGCATTTTAAGTTCTCAAAATTTCTGCTTTTTTATGAATTAACATGAAATTAAAAGGCAAATGGTAGAGATGCTTATTGTTTAGTTATGACCCACAACTTTTCCATTTGCCAATTAACTTTTCCTCATCTGCTAATTTGTACAGGCACAATCCTCTGGCTGTGCCTACATGCAGCGTACTCAGGCCTTCAGAATTGTTCCTGCTGCAGAAAAACTGATCTCATCCCAAATATAACATTTACTGTGTTTTTTCTACTTTGAAGTTTTAAAGTTGATTTTAATTTTTATTGTAATTATATTACTGTCCTTCTTAATATTTTCAATACTATCTTTTGTGCTTATTTGACATGATAAGGTTAATCATGTTTGTAAGCATTGCCTGGACTAAAATAGCTTTCTGTGACAGCTGATGCCATCTTTTGGTGGAAAACATGGATGCATCTTTGCCCAGTGACTTATGTTTGTTCTCAACTATTAAAGTTTACCAGCAGAAAATTCTTTTGTACTCTGAAAACGTTCCACAGCTTCACAGAAATTTCCCTCAAGAAACTCCGAAAACAGTTTTCATGCCCACCACTTTTTTATGTTTTGGTATGCTGCAAGAACATACTTGTCTGATAGGCAGATGGCAAAGTATGAGAGAATAAAATGGTTTTATGGTATAATCAGAACTGAATAAAGTTGAACAGTGAGAGAGCTGACAGGGCCAGGTCACATAAGAATAAACTGACCACTGTGATTTGCTATTTATGTAGACCTAGTCCTTTCAAATGGGCTAATACCATCAAAATTATTACACCTGGTAGTGGCCTTTAGCAACATAATTACAAAAAAAATCACCCAAACACTAATGTGTATAAGGAGATTCTGTTCTAGGGATCCCCAAAATGGTGTTATGAACATAATTTTAAAATTGATTCTAGGCCTAGGAGATAGCTATAATTGACTTCAATCCAGAGTAAGGGTCGTATTTTTTAGATCTTGCATTTCAATGAATTAAAAACAGAAATGTCCTCAGTCTCATTTTTCCCTCTAGCTCTATTTCTATATAGATAAAATTAAGGGTTTACAGAAAGAAAATAAAGCAAAAGGTACATGTGAGATGTCATTTCTGCTATACAATAGTTCCTCTTTGACCTATCTAATGCTCAGAATAGGATTTGGGAAATGATGATTCACTATAATTGGCTTGGATATTTAATTAGAAAAATTAGATATGATTCTGTCAAATGTGACAAGTCAATGTATTTCAGTATTTGTGTAGTGGTTTCCTACAAATGCTATCTTCCTATTCCTCTTCTTTAGCTTTTAGATTTTATTCTTTTATTTCCCTAACTTATAAAAACCTCAGGGTGATTTAGAAATCAGTGTCAGTTTATTCTTTCATTATCCCAGGAACACTATGCAAACTGTAAGGTCTAGATATATTATCCTGTGCCAATTATGTTTAAGTATTTAGAAACTGAGGTGATTTACATATCTTATTTGATCTCCCCAAATATGTAATTAGATTCTTCTCTTTCTGGTAAAGTTGATTGCCTAATTTTGTTTTTGATTAAACAGGGTAAACAATTTGGGAAGTGAATAACTCATCTCTTTGGAAACACCAAGGATAGTTTTATAGGCAGTCACCTGGATGAGTGACATTTCTGTTCTTTCTTTCTTTCTTTTTTTTTTTTTTAAGAAAAAATAAGACATTTTCCTTCCTCTGATTCCTTCTAAAAATGTGTTGTCATAATGGGTTAGGATCAAAGGGAGTTTGATGACTGGAAGTCTTTATGGACACTTTTCATCAAAATGGGATAAATACAGGGATGTACCTGCCAAAAAAGACCAAAAATAAATATCTGCTAATCAGATACTCCCTTTTCATGTAAAGTTCTAAAGATGTTCTTACAAATGATTCTTTTCAATTCTTTTCTATTCTCGATAAATAATCAATTTTCCCTTATTACTGTATTACCTTTCTTTGGGCTCCATTTGTAGCTTCTGTTCTCCAATAATATGGAGACAGGCAGCTTAATTACACTGGAAACACATTTCTATCCTCTGGAAACAGTTGAAGACAGACTACTCCTGAGAATGTTTCTTGCAGCAGCAAATTCTTACTGCATGTGAATTTTCTTGTAGCCTGAACAAGTGCCCTTTCCGGCTTCTGCCTGTTTTATTTTCCCCTGAATTTTAACACTTATCAAAAGGAGCCATTTTTTTGTTTTTGGTTTGGCCCACCCACATGTTTAACGTAAAATATTCTTACCTTGCCATAGCTATTCCAACAACACAGCCTCCAACTATGGACCAAAATCCAATCCAGCCAGCATCTACCTGCGGAGAAAGTGGCAGCCACATTTAATATAAGACTATCATGTTGCAATTTAGAAGGCAAGAAATAGGGGCGCCTGGGTGGCGCAGTCGGTTTAAGCGTCTGACTTCAGCCAGGTCACGATCTCGCGGTCCGTGAGTTCGAGCCCCGCGTCAGGCTCTGGGCTGATGGCTCAGAGCCTGGAGCCTGTTTCTGATTCTGTGTCTCCCTCTCTCTCTACCCCTCCCCCGTTCATGCTCTGTCTCTCTCTGTCCCAAAAATAAATAAACGTTGAAAAAAAAAATTAAAAAAAAAAAAAAGAAGGCAAGAAATAAAGATCCTCTGTCATCAATATGTAAATATATTTATATATTATATATACACGTATAATTCAAATATAATCAACAGCTAAATGGCAACAAATGTAGAAAATGAATAAAACGAAAGGATTCATGTGTGACTAATTAATACAACTTATCTAAGTAAATATATCTTATTTAAGTTTTTATTGGAACATTTAAATCCAAAAAATAATCAGCATCACAAACAGGAAAAGGACAGAAGATGGTCAGTGACTTCAAGAAGCTTAAATATAGGCAACATACAGGACACTACTAGGAAATAATTAAGTGCTAAAACATCTGGCAACAATTAAAGATGCATCAAGAGGTCACAGAAGACAGAGAGAGTGAGAGCAAGAGCAATGTGGAATGGAGCACGTAGGGAGACCACTGAAAGAGAACTGGAGCTGGGTTTCAAATACAGAGCTCACTCCACTCTTGGGAAAACATTTCCAACCCTGCCATTTACTAGCTTTGTGACCCTGGATGGATTATGTCTTCTTATCTATAAAATGAACTAAAAGAGATAATCTGTGCATACACTTAGATCAGTGGTCAGCAAACAGGAAGTACTATCTATGTGTTATTACTATCTGTTATTACTACCTGATGATGCTTCTCCATCTAGCTAATGTCTTAACTCTTTCCTCACCTCATGGCCAAACTTTCTCAGAGAAATCTACAAATGCTGCCTAGATTTACCCATCATTCATGTATCTTTAACTCCTGCTATTACTTGGCTTCTATCCAAATTCATATCGTAGGTCTCCATTTCCTCATTATTAAAATAAGGATAACGAGATTTTTATTTTTTTGAGACTTAAATAAACTAATATGTGTAAAATGTTCAATACATGTTAGAGGTTACCACTGGAATTCCATTTGTCCCTAACAATATCAGTGCATTTTGTCTCCTTGTTCCCTCTCCACGGTCACCATGCTTGCTTATTACCTTAGTTCTTACTTCTGGACTGCTATAATAGCTTCTTAAATGGTCTCCACAACCTGTTCTGCCCACTATTGCCAGAATAATTATCCTAACTATCCCACTTTCCTGCTCAGAAATAGTTACAAGCTTTCACTGTGGCTACAGGGTCAAGTCCAAGCTTGACCTGGCACTGAGAGATGCCCAACTAACTTCTACCTTTTATTATTTTCCCAGTTGTATTTTTCATTATACCTGTTTACCAAAATATGTGATCTTCTACCTGGACACTTAGCTGGATTATATGTCCCAGCTCCCATTCAATTACATATGACTAGGTGACTAAGTTCCTAATGAAGTGGGCAGAATTAAGGTGTGCCACCTGTAGGGTAGAATCTGGAGGACAGCTGTATGCCTCCTCCATGCTTTCTTTCCCTTTTTGACAGCTGGATTCTGAATGTAGTCACCCGCCTAACTGATGCATACAACAACAAGGTCTTAGAAGATAAGACTGTCGGGGGCACCCGGGTGGCTCAGTCGGTTAAGCGGCTGACTTCGGCTCAGGTCATGATCTCGCGGTCCGTGAGTTCGAGCCCCGCGTCAGGCTCTGTGCTGACAGCTCAGAGCCTGGAGCCTGTTTCAGATTCTGTGTCTCCCTCTCTGACCCCCCCCTGTTCATGCTCTGTCTCTCCCTGTCTCAAAAATAAATAAAACGTTAAAAAATAATTAAAAAAAAAAAAAGAAGATAAGACTGTTGCAAAGTGGAAAGAAGCAACCTAGGTCTCTAAATCAGTGTGAGGAAGTTATCCAAACTGTGCACAATTGTCCTAGGTTATTATGCTAAACTGTCCTAGATTGCTATGTAAATGAGAAATAAATTTCTTAAGCTTCAGGATTCTGGGATTCTACTTCTCATAGCAGCTTAGCCTACTCTAAGCAATACAATTACTTAACAGTGTTTGGTGCCAGAGCAAAGATAAGTACTCTCTGGAGAAAGAGAACAGCCTGAAGCTTAATTTATCTCTACATTTTTTTTTTGTCATATCATTGGCATTTGGGGCAAGAGAATTCTCTGTTCTGCAGAACTGCCCCTCTCATTGCAGAGCATTTAACATCCATTGTCTAAGTCCCACTTACTGCCATTGGGCCTCCCAAACATTTCCATCTATCCCCTTGCTGAGTGGGGCTCTGTGTTAGGCTAAGAACCACTGTGCATCTGACTGTACTAATCCTGGTCCTTTTAGGTAAGGCTTTTGTGCTTTACTGCTTCCTTTGTTCATGACATTTGCTTTAGTTAATAATATTCTACCCACTAATTAATTAAAATTTTTTTCTTTAATTTTTTTTTTTTTTGCTTTCATTTAATTTTAAATTTCATTTCATTTAATACCTGGTGTAATTCTTGGTCTCTCTACCTCTCAGAGTTTATACAGACAGAGATACTTGAAAGGGCTTCTCAGGATTTATAATGTGAAGCATAAGATCTGCAAAATCAGAATCATTCAAATGGGTGCTACACTTTTCTTTCTTTGGAATTGAGCATGCCTGGAACACCTGACATCCAGAAAAATAAGTTAGAAAACTAAAGGAAGACTCTTCTGGTGAAGGTACACTAGGTAATCTGGATTGAGATTCTGGTTGAAAACTAGAAAATCCAGGGGAAAATCTATTTGATGGCATCAGAGGGCCCAGAAGGTAATCCAGAATTATGGAACCATGATGTAAAATGGGAAGGAAACCCAGAAAGATAAGCCTGGTTTCCTTTGGGGTACCTGATTTCAGAAAAGGTAGCTAAGGGGCTGACAGTTATCAATAGCCTGCTGACTTAGGAAAGAAAAAAACTGTGAGTGTGGGGCCTGTTGTGGTGTGGGGGGCCTTATAAAAACCCTAGCCTTTAGATGGTAACTTTGAAAGGCTGTATCTAAGACTACTGTGCACTGGAAATAGAACAGTATTCTGTGGGACAGAAGCCCAGCTTTAAATTATCTCCATTCTTGAAGCTGGATTAAATGATCCTTACACTCCTGTAGAGAAAACATAAGTTGTTTCTGAGGTTAAATAACATCACCTTGAAGCTTAAATGATATCTATAACTTTTCATATACTATGTCTGGCACTCAGTCAAAAATAAAGGAGCACATAAGGAGATAAAAAAACATAAATGAATACCACAAATAAAAAAAGACCCACAGGGGATCCAGATCAAGGAATGATGAGATTTTAAGCAACTATTTTTAATAATTTGAAAAAGTAAAAGATCAAGCACTTTACAGACACTTGGAAACCACACAAAAAAAATCAAATAAAAACTTTGTAACTTAAAAATATAATAACTGAAATTAACAACTCATAGATGTGTTTAACAGAATATTAGAGCTGAAAACTGAAATAGTGAGTTGAAGAAAGGCTAGATAAAACATCCAGCCTGAAGGAGAGAAAGGCAGAAGCATAGACAATTCAGAAAAGAGAGTAAGAGACATAGGAAATAGAGTGTGAAGGTTTAACATAAGGAAATTAGAGAAAATAAAGCTTAAGGGATACTGGCTAAGAATTTTCAGACACTGGGGTGCCTGGGTGGCTCAGTTGGCTAGGTGTCTGACTCTTGATTTTGGCTCAGGTCATGATCTCATGGTTCATGAGTTTGAGTCCCGCATTGGGCTCTGTGCTGACAGCATGGAGCCTGCCTGGGATTCTCCCCCTCCCTTTCTATCCCTCCCCTGCTTGCTCTCTCTCTCTCTCTCTCTCTCTCAAAAAATAAACTAAAAAAATAAAGAAAGAAAGAATTTTCAGACACTGATGGCAGACATCAAGTTATAGGTTCAAGAAGTCCTACAAACCTCAAGAAGAATAAATTTCAAAGTCACCACCTAGTTATACCATAGTAAAACTGCTGAAACCAAAGACAAAGAAAAAACCTTAAATGCAACAAACTTTTAAACTTAAAAGCTGACTTCTTGGAAGCCAGAAGAAAATGGGATTATTTTCAAAGAACCAAAAGATAATAAAATGCCAATCAAGAATTCTATCTCCATGAAAATAATCCTCAAAAATGAAGGTGAAATGAAGACATTTTCAGGCAAAAATAAAGAACAAACCCGCAACAAGAGAATTTGTCACAAGCAGACCTGCACAAAAACCAAACCACATGCTCACTAAACGGTGCTTTTTAGACAGAAGAAAAGTGATCACAGGTGGAAAACTGTAGATAAAGAGACGAAGAGCAACAAAATGGGCAAATATGAAGGTGAATCTAATTAAATACTGACTATATAAGCAATAATAATAATGTTTTGTGCAGTGTAAAACATGATGATAATAGCACAAAAGATTGTAGAGGGTTAAATAATGTTGAACGGTTCTATGGATCTTGGGCTGTCTTGGAAGAGGTGAAAGTTGTAATTTGTAATAGGTGTTGATAAATCACAAGAGCATTCTGTACTTTCTAGGGTAACCACTAAATAATAAAAGAGATTATAACTATCAAGCTTATAAAAGAGGAAGGCAGAATAGTGAAAATTACTTAACCCAGAAGAAAGTAAGAAAGTAGAAAAAAGGATAGACTGAAAAAAATGAAAACAATAAGATGATAGATCCCGACCCAAATTTTATCAATAATTATATTAAATGTAAATGGACTAAATACTCTAATTAAAACACAAGGATTATCAGACTGGCTTAAAGAAAAAAAAAGGACATGCTGCTTATAAGAGGTATACGTAAAGAAAGTCTGAAAGTAAAGAAATGTAAAAAGATACAC